TTTCTTCCTACCGATACAGTTTTCCCTCAATCTACACACGCTCCTCATCCATGGCAATTAATCCCGTACATCCCACCTCTCTACTTCCAAACTATTTTCTAAAGTTCCAATTTTCTCCCCCAAACCAACATTTCCCTAATCCCTCTCGTCAAACTCCTTGCCAACCTTGCCAGACCAATCCAAACTCTATCACCCTTCTGATAAAGCTGATCAAGTTCCATAACTCTTTTCTCCTCCATTGCCCAAACATTTTTCCCCTTAACCCACGTCCCTAACACCTTCAAGTTTCTCAGTCCCTCTACCTCTTGCCCTTCCATCCCCATCACATCCCTATCAACCACAATCCAATCCGCCCACTTCCCAATCTCAATGGCTCCGGTCTTATTTTCCAAATTCCAACCCCAAGCCGCGTTGCGCGTAAAACCATGAACTGCCTGTTCAATACTAAGACTTTCTTCCGGATACCAACCTTCTTTTCCTGAGGGTGAAGTCCCAGTTTTAGGATTGAGACGAGTTACTGCGGCATAGATACCATGGAAAGGATTCGGTGGTTCAACTGGAAAGTCAGAACCGAGGACTGGCCCAGGATATGTTGATGTGTTGTTATGAACAGAAGGAAAGAACGAACGCATGCGATAAGCGAAATTGGAAAGTCGTTCCTCTCCGAGACGGGATGATGCATAAGCCATATCAGATGTAGCGTGTGTTGGCTGAATGCTGGGAAGAATGCCCATATTTGCAATGCGTATTTGGTCGTCGGGATGCTGCGAAGTGTGTTAGAAAAGCATCAAGTTTTGATATGGAACGTACTATAATTTGAGCATGCTCAATTCTTAGCCTCTTTTCTTGGTTGCAACCATGGCAATCAGCTCCTAAAACAGCTTCGAATGCATTGATGGCAGCTCTGTTGGCCCGATCGCCGATAGCATGGATATTGATTTGGTAGTCCCATTCGTAAAACTCGAAGAATCAGTTAGTCTTATGCACAGAAGAGAAGTGAAGTAGTAAATACCTTCTTAACAACTTCCGTTAATTCAGTCTCGTTGATCAACATCATTCCACTAGTCTCAGGTTTATCTGAATATGGTTCCAACAATGCCGCACCCCAAGAGCCTAAAGCTCCATCCGCAAAGAGTTTGATCCCTCCAAATAATAGCATATCACCTCCACCAGATCCATCTCTTATCACTTTCACCGTTCGCAACTCTTGATGACAGAAAGTGTTTCTCTCATCACACTCAGCCATAACACGAATTCTAACAGTCAGTTCATCTCTTCTAGCCAACTCTTGCAATATCTTCACATCTTCCATTCGCATACCAGCGTCACTCATAGCCGTGATACCTACTTTATTCAACTCATCCATTGCGGTTTTAAGCCAGCGTACTTTTTGAGATGCGTCTGGCTTAGGTGCGAGAGGATAGATGTAGTTATCCATTGCGTTGTCGCAAAAGACACCAGGTCCAGGATTCGTAATGATTTCTCCACCCGGAGGTGATTCCGGTAGAGGATCCGGAAGAAGAGAGAGGACCTTTTCTGAAGTCCACACACAATGTATATCAACTCTATCGAGCATGATATACAAATCTTTCAGCTCCGGGTCTTCAGCAAGTTGTTCCTAGAAATTCCATCAGCAGAATCCTTTACCAGATAGAATAAATAAAATATGAATTCATACCGCTGTCGGCATCACACCTCCAAAATGAGCTTGATCCCATCCCACCCCCCTAATCCACTTCTCCCTGCTCCCATAACCTTCTCCTTCGTGTCTTCCCAACCATTCTTTAATCCTGCTCTTCACATCATCCACACTTTCTGCCTCATATAAGCTCACACTCTCGAGCATTTCTCCATACTGCAAAATATGCCCATGCGATTCAATAATCCCAGGCAACACATATCCATTCAACCAAACAATTTTTTCGCCCTCCTCTGCACTTGGTACTCTTTCAAGAATTTCCGTTATCACATCGATTCTAACGCGGAAACATCTCGGATTAGGAGTATTAGGAGAAAGAGTAGTAATGGTATATGGCTCGCGGACGCAGTAGAGGGTTGAAGAGGTCCATGTATCGTAGAGAGAATGTAAATTGGCGGTTATAAAGAGTATGAGATATCCTACGAAGAAGAAAGCGAGAGGATGCATTATGTTCTATTTTTCTATCCTACTTAGCAGAATAGGAGACTGCTAGTGGAAGGGTGGAAGTAAGGGTGGTTTTTTATCACCATACATGCGTGCGTTTTAACTTTGAAAGAGATAAGGAATGTTTCATTCGACGTTGTGTGATGAAGGTATCATGTTGTACTACATTGAACTCGATTGGATTGGATTGGGCTGCAATAGTTTATTGCAGATCGTTGTTTTTCGCTCTTTCCTGTATAAATTGGGTGACAATATGGAGACAGATACAAGTATGCGACTAAAGAGGAAGTTGCGGATTCAAAGGTGGGCGTGGCATGTGATTATCTTCTACCAGACGGTAAGAGGATAAATCATTTCTTGATTTCCAACCTCACAATAAGATTTTGACAATCATTTCATCACTGCTCTCTTTTCCTTCCGTGGAGGAATGTTTTCGAAAAGACTGATGGCAGACTCAAAATGAAGTTCACAGAGTCGAGTTTTGAACAGAAGACTCCCGGTGAGGCTTCAATTCCTGGCCAGTCCCGCGTCGAGAAAAGAATTCTCTTTCCTCAAGTATCTATCTACACCAATTTGAAAATTCAGTCACCAAAGAACCTCATACGAAATCTACGATATCTTTGATTATAATCTATGCAACGCCATAAAGTCATCGCCATGGCCAATGACTTTTGTCTACAACGAACTACCCAAAAACGCCGAGCTAATATAATGCATAATTCCGCCCATAAATGGTAAATATTCACCGCTCATGCATCTCTCATCATCATAATCCTTCAATTTTCCCATAAATCAGAATTTACGATCTCAAAAACGTCTTAAAGACTTGCGAATCTGTACAATCCGTCCAAGGATATCCGATTTCCCTCAAAAATCTCTCCAAATCCTTGACCTCATCATCCGGACACAGAATACCCGTCAGAATCTTTCCGATATCACTTCCGGCATTACGGTATTGGAAAAGACTTATGTTGAATCTCGGTCTCAAAGTAGTGAGGAATTTCTCAAGCGCACCTGGTCTTTCAGGGAAGTTGAACATGTAGAGTCGTTCGTTTGGTACTCCTGAACGTCCACCCACTAGGTAGCGAATATGGGATTTGGCAAGTTCGTCGCCGGAGAGATCAGTAGGTGACATACCACTGGATGAGATGCGATTGAGGAGAGATTGAAGCTCTTCGTCTCTTTGCGATGCAGGAGAGGTTAGAGAAATACCAATGAGTACGTTTGCTACTTCATCGGTGGCATATCGGTAAGAGAATTCGGTGACGGCATGTGGCATGACGGCTTTGATGAGTTCAGAAAAGGCGCCAGGAATTTCAGGAATGCTGACACTAAGAAGAGCTTCTTTGCGTTCTCCAAGAGCTGCACGCTCGGCAACGAATCTCAGACGGTCGAAGTTCATGTTTGCTCCAGAAGCAATAGCTACAAGATTTCGAGAAGTATCGGGGGATGGGTTGGCCGCAACATATTTCTTGAGTCCTGCTAGTGCAAGAGCTCCAGCTGGTTCGACAATGGATCTTGTGTCTTCGAAAACGTCCTTGATAGCTGCGCATGTCTCGTCCGTAGTGACTTGAATAACATCATCAATGACTTCTTGACATATTCTGAATGTTTCCTCTCCGACATTCTTTACTGCCGCTCCGTCGGCGAACAATCCCACTTCCTTCAATGTCACTCTCTTCCCAGCTGCCAAAGATTGTACCATAGCATTCGCATCATAAGTCTCCACTCCAATGATTTTCACATGCGGAGCAATACGCTTGACGTAAACACCAATCCCCGCAATCAACCCACCACCACCCACACAACAGAAAATAGCCTCCAACTTATGAATATTCGTTTGTCTGAGAAGCTCCATACCAATCGTACCTTGACCTGCAATAACATACGGATCATCAAACGGTGGAATATTGATCAATCCGTGTAATTTCTCCAATCTTCCACACTCCTCCTTTGCAGCATCGAAATCCGGCCCATGCAATACTACCGATCCTCCCAATCGAGTTACATTGAGATGTTTGATGCTGGGTGTTCCTTCGGGCATGACAATCGTAGCAGGCATTTTGAGTTTGCGCGCCGAATACGCAACGCCTTGTGCATGATTTCCCGCCGAACATGCAACTACACCTTTCCAACTAACTTTAGGATCTAGATGTGCCATTTTGTTATATGCGCCTCTCAATTTGAAGCTGAAAACCGGTTGCAGGTCTTCGCGTTTCAATAGAACATTGCATTCTAATCGATTGCTGAGGTTGACGGCTGGAGTGAGCGGGGTCTCAGTGACGACTTCATAAACTCGAGAAGTGAGGATCAATCGTAGATACTAATCAATTGATCAGTTGCAGCTCTTAGAATACAATTGAGCATACTCACATCAGGATATCCATTTGGCAGAATAAATTCCTGCGGAATAATGCTGCTAACTTTTGATTTTGTACTTTCTGATGGCGGTGATGGATTTGCTGAATATTCCGTCAAAGAAAAGGAAGTCAGACTCGGAGTTCGTGGGTGATTGGGAGTTCTCTCTCCATTTGTTCCTGTTCCGTTCTCCATGACTGGAAATTATGTATTGATTTCCAATTGAGTATATTTCTTTGGTGTTGTTGAGAATCGAGTCATAAAGTTTGATATTGTTTTATTTGCTGGATTCCCACCTTTCGATATCGGAGCTGATACTCTCCAATTATTTTTTGCAGGGATGCTCTAAATTCCGATGATATCACGACCTAAGGTTGCATTGTGATTCGATGCATTTGGAGGGGCAAAGCTTTTGATAAAGCTTTGGAACATCAATAACTTCACAAATTCACCATCTATAAAATACTTTGGCATCGCGAAGAAGTATTAATCAATAAACATGTCGAACAATACTCCATTGCCGTCGTCTTTCGATGGCAATACGTATGTGCCATTTTTATAGAAAGCTTTTTGTTCCACTCATTCATAGCTAATGGCCTGATAGTGATTTCTATGAAGAAAATCGCTGGCAGAAACTAACTCGCCGTCTTAAAGAAGAGCCTCTCATTCCCCTGGGTACATCATCTCTCTCTCCCCCGCTTCCTCTCAATGTTCTTATACTAACCAATTCTCCTTCTAGGTTGTATCCTCACCTCCCTCGCTCTCGTCGGCGCAACCCGCTCCATCCGAGCCGGCGACCACAACCGCACTCAACGCATGTTCCGCGCACGTATCTACGCGCAAGGCTTCACCCTCCTAGCTATGGTTGCCGGATCCATGTACTGGGATTCCGACCGTAAGAAGCGCAAGGAATTTGAGGGAGTATTGTCGGAGCAAAAAGCTAAAGAGAAGAATGAAGCTTGGATTAGAGAATTAGAGGCCAGAGATGAGGAGGAGAAGGAGATGAGGAGGGTGAGGGATGAAAGGAGAAGAAGGGCGGAGGGAAGACCGGCACCAAAGGCTGTGGTAACGGATGCGCCAGTGGAGGAAGGGGAGAAGACGAAGGGGGGAGTCATGGAACAGATGAGTGGTTTGGTGTGGGGAAAGAAATGAGAGATGCAGTAATTGCGGACTAAAACGGATGTATATGGGAAGTATAGCATTGAGGTTTGGTGTTTGGTATGGTTATCGGATATGTATAACTTATGGGCTAGGGAAATGTACAAACTCCATTCATTTATCGATTTTATCTTAGCATTGGTCATGGGTCATTTATATAGTAAAAATGCATTGTTCTTCATATTCAAAGTATCTGGAATCCAGATCTATTATTTGAATGAAGTTACCCAAACTCGCAAGAACATATCCCTCCAAATGTTTAAGTTTCCACGCCATACATGCTTCAGATATCCCGATCCATTCCTACTCAATGCTTTCCAAAACTCCGAACTTAACCCATCAATTCATAGAACCACCACTCCTATTCCCTCCAATAAGCCCCGCCATTTCTAACAAGGCCCTATCGGCATCAATATCACCAGTCCCTAGATTGATCTTTCTCCTCGCCTCCGCTTCTCTTTCTTCCCAGGCCCACATCTCCTTTTGTTTCTGAGCTTCGGCATCGCCTCCACAACCCCAGACTTCTAAACTTTCGATTTCAAATCGGTCTTGAAAATCTGTGCGTCTGGTCTCACTGTTGTGGAATGCTCCTCCGCCAGATGAATAGTTGTGTGTAAAAACACCAAATTCAAAAGAAGAATCTAGATATAACGATACAGCGCCAAGATTCACATGAGTAGATAGTCCAGCCGTCTGTTTCGTTTTAGGGTGTGGGCATCCAAAAGATAAACATGGATGGGCTGATGGAGGTTTGGAGAATGCCACATAATCCTTGTTAATTACCGAAGCGTGAAAGACCTCATGAACGGGTTCGAGCTGGAAAAGTAGTGTGTCGGTGTCTCCAAAACACTCTTTATGAGTTTGTCTCCAAGGTTGTGAGAGATAGACTCCAAAGACAACTCTGGATGATTTACCACTATTGGGAAATCGTTTGGGCGGCAATGTGTCTGCAAAATTCCTTTCCTGTCCACCAGTGGGAGAATCTTCAATTCTGTTTCCGGCGACCAAAAGGATAGTTGGTGCACGCCAATTGAAGACTCTTGTCTCGAAAGAACCCATAGAGAATCCAGCATCGCCACCGGAATAGAGCAGTCGAAGACGTCGGAAGAGAGAATCCCCGGGAAGGAAGAAGGAAAGTTGCGACAAAACATTGAGATCCAGTATTTCACCTATTTGTGGAAGAAGAGGCTGATCTATTTCAGCATCCAAAGGTGTTGGAGGCGGTGCTTCTGAAGGATCTTTCCGTTTTGTGAAATCAATGTTCTTGGAGAACAAGAAGTGTTCGAATAGAGCATTGAATCCATTAAATACAAAAGGCAATGAAATGGGTATCACAGTGTTGAATTGATGTATTTTAACACCAGGGAATTTTTCCACATTTACAAAAGCTGCAAGAATGTTGTCCGCTGTTCTTCGAAGACTTTCTAATTGTGATCGGGCGAGTCTTTCGGTGTGGTGAGCTAAACTCTCTTGGATTCCCAACGGCGCTACCAATAGGAGTAGCATGATCAATTTTTTTAGATTATCGGAGGGAATCGTAGCTTGGGCTATGGGCGGATCTCCGTGACGAAATACTTCAATGGCATCCAGTGACTCAAGTGCAGCTAAAGCAAGATCATCATCTTCCTCTTCATCGTCATCATTCATAGCTTCATCGATAGCGAATCCTGTTGCATGTTTTTTGACAGCATTCTCTCCTTCTGCTGGCGGAGACGTTGTATCCGCCTTATCTTCTTCATTCTCAATTCCCGCGCGAGATTCCCTTCTATCATATACCGCCAGACTTCGAAATAGTAGCTTTGTCCGATCTCTATTGCCCTTCTTCAATACCCTCTGATATCGTTCCGTCATGATTACTACCACCATAATCATCTGTTCAAATCCCAAGACTGCTGGCGCATCCTGACCAAATGGAAACGCACCAAGGTAGGATACCATCTGGAATATAATTGGGGAAGCGCCTAGTATATCCGGAATCTCCAGGAATCGTGCGATGGTATCTTCCTTGAGATATGCGACTCCATCTTGATGATCTGCAAGACTCTTGAAAACATCCTGGAATGAGAACAATTCGAGAGGGGTAAAGCAACGTTTTGCGAATTTCCGAGCCTTAAATAGCAATTATTACAAGTTCTCCAAAGTGGTTGGAGATTCAAGAGGGGAGCTTCCATGAATCGCAAACTTACCAGTTCATGACTCAGCTGCTGTGTCGTAACATGTTTATCACTGGTACCAGACTGAGATTGTCCCATCTTCACTTCTGTTTCAGATACATCGCATCAATTTGTATTATAAGTTTTTGATGAACAAAATAAGATGTTTACGAGGAGACAGTCAATGACGGAGTGCTTACATAATCCCTGTTCCCATTAGCGGCGCGGCGCAACGACCCTTCATTTCTGCGCGCCAAAGTTTATTCGTTACATTCAAGTGCTCACCGGGAGCTTACCAAAGAGCGTCATCATAAAAACACTTCCTAAGCTATTGCGACATCCTGTCATAAATTAAATGCCTTACCTGCGTCTATTGTTTCTTGAGGATTGCTGTAACAGCTGCAATGCATGCTGGATGATAAGGTTATGGTCCCAAAATTACGTTACTAGATTGAGTCTTAGATGTTGAAAATAGTGATTCTTGGCTAAACTTCTCAAGGATGGCCTAATCTGGCTATCGCAGCTATCGCAGCTATCCAAGATAGCCAGGTCGATTGTTATGTTCGCCTCCTAGTATTGTATCACGGAGGTTCGATTGATACTTTGTCAATACTAGAACAATTTTTCTTCAAACGCGATGTTTTTGTATATGCAATGGCTCTGGCCCCGATGACCTCGTGCTTCCGAAAGCTAATGAGGGGCACGTTCTAACTGGCAGGAAATTTATTGTCTAATTTGTCTTCGGTCAAGTGCAATCCAGTTGAGTTTCCGGGTACCAAATTGGCGACAACTTTGTTGTGTATATCGTCGAGAAGGTTTGATTCGATCATTGCTGATTGTTGATTGCTTGCTAACAAAGGGTTCTTGATCGCCATCAATCACCAATTTATTGACCATATCCCCTCCACTAATATAGCTTTATTCTTCTAACTATTTCGAGTGCCAGGCTAATCGCAGTAGCATAGCTGAGTTGTCGTTAACAACGATTGGAATGAGGCGTCTGCAAGATTTCGGTTGGCATTCCTTGGTGTCCAGCTGAACTTAAGATGAGTTTCAACGAAAACCTCAAGTCGAAGATGCAATCAGGTCTTTGTCCTATTGTCCCTATTGTTGGTGAATTGATATCTTCTTGAAAGGATGGCGTCTTATCAGTACACTCCTATAAATTCCCAGGAACTTCAAATTCGAGTGTTACATATTCTCCCAAAGAGTCACACGGATTTGACAAGCTCGGATAGGCTGCCCAAGCAACTTGATACAGGTAATTGGGAAGATGATCACAACAATGCGTATCGCAATTACTGACGCTACCACAGTTTCTTGCACTCTGCACGTAGTATCTTTGAGAGAAGCCCCAGACTATCATGCTTTGTCTTACTGCTGGGGGGACCCCGATCTTCCTCGGGCACAAATTTTGCTCGACGAGACAGAAGTCGAAGTTACCATTAGTTTGGAACAGGCTTTGAAGGCATTTCGGCATGAGACAAAACCGATGGTTCTCTGGGCAGATGCAATATGTATCAACCAGAATGATCCGGAAGAGAAGGCAGAACAAATCAAACTGATGAGAGATATCTACAGTTGTGCCAGTATCGTGGATGTATTTCTAGGCGAAGGAACTCCTCAAACTGACGAGGCTATGGACGCGGCTCTGATTATAGGACAGGCTGCGTATGATGCAGGAATTTTTTCTGTTACAGTGGATAGTATGAGAGATTGTGAATTTTACATTCGAGAAGATCAAGAAGGATATGGATTTAATCGTCCAAAAATAGACGATCCGCTTGCTAATATAAAACGCTCGCTGTATCAACTTGCTATTGATATTGGCCTTGACTTCCCATTTCTCGGCTGGCATGAAATAGGGAGTCGAGATTATTGGAACCGACTTTGGATCATGCAGGAATTCTGCCTTGGCAAAGAGTTGATGATAACATGTGGTCAAAAGACGATACCATTTCATCCCTGGTTCGAAGCAGCTTGGATTTTCTTTGCCATGCAGTCTGCAATGATCATTCACACATACGGTCTCCAGAAAACAGCTCATGATCCCATCGTATCACCAATTCTTCAAGAGATTGCAAGATGTTTAAGTACTGCCGCTATAAGCCTGAACCGACTTCTGGGGACGCGAAAACATCATCGCAAAACCGGTGGATCTCCTCTTGTCAAACTGTTAGAAAGAGGTTGCATCCAAGCCTCCAAAGATTTAGTCAGAAAGGCAAGATATCCTCGAGATAGGATTTATGGATTGTTAGGAATGGCTTCCGATGCCCAAACTTTAAACATTCAACCCATATATACCAACATCGATTCGGATGAAGAGACAGTACAGATTTTCACATCTGTTTCTCGAAAACTGTTGGTACAGAACAACGGGGATTTGTTGGCATGGAATCAACAACCCAAAACTTTGGAAGGTCTTCCTAGTTGGGTTCCAGATTTCACAAACACACTGCTAGAACCATCTTGTGAGACTAAGAAAGCGGCTCTCTTCTCTGCTTCGGGTCAATCTGAACTTTCGGTTGTCCCTGCATCGGAAGAAAAAGATCCGAGGATCATTGGAATGAGAGGCGTTAGAGTCGATACTGTTATGGCGATTGGAAGTTTGTTTACTGTAGACAACAGACAAGGTATCATATCTCGTACTACCGACGAATACCTAGCAATCCACGCCAATATCATGCGGTACTTTGATGAAATAACACATTTCTGTGAGCAAGCTCAGGCTCTAAATGCGAAAGATGCTGCATCACCGCTACCGCTGGACGAAATGAAATGGTTCGGAGCCAATTGGCGCATTCCCTGCGCAGACCAGACCGACTCCTTCACATTCCGCATGCGCGCTTCTCATACCTCTTTAATGGGCTATAACGATCTTCGACGTAGTATAGAACTCTATTCCGATAATGCGAGAAGTATTACGGACAATCACTTGAGCGAAGAAGAATTTGATGCAAATACTGAGGAACATATAAGATGTGTTCAGACGGCTGCGTATGCTTCGTACAAAAATGCAATGAGCTATCAGCAAAACAGAAGACCGTTCATATCAGAACAAGGATATGTAGGTCTTGTGCCTGGACAATCATTGCCTGGGGATGTTATAGTCATTATCTTTGGAATGGTCCAACCTTTTGTGGTAAGGAGTGTTGGAGAAGATAGGTGGGAGTTAATAGGAGAAGCTTATGTTCATGGGATTATGGATGGAGAAATCATGAAGGGTGATCTCCAAACGGAGGACTTTGTTTTGGCATGATCTGGAATTTTACCAAGGGCTTCCTTGAATGAGGTAGTTGCTGTTTGTTGTTGTTTATGCGTGCTGCGTTTACAAAGTTATGTACGGAGTATTGGATCATATGATTTCTGATCAAGTGGAGACCGTTTGTGATGTTTTCATACTGCAAGTGAGGAAACGATCCAGGATCTGAAAGTGGGATCAAGGAAAATACAACAAATTAAGAAAACTCACATAGAGGAAAAGATCATCTCCTGCCACCCATTTCCCTCCCATTTGTCTCACACGTACTGATAAGCTTGTGGTGTTCCCAGCCAAGAATTTGCATCCCATCTTTACACGTTCTATTGACGCAATCTCGTCACACTGTTGCAGCGTCCCACCCTTTCATTTTCCTTCTCAAGATACTCGTACTGTTAGAAAGTATGCAACTCCAACACTAGATGCAAATACCACAAGATGGTAAACTACAAGAGGACTAACCCGGTTGTCCTAGCACCGGAGTTGCATACTTTCTGGCCGCACGAATACGTATTTGCCATTTGATTGACGATCATATTTGGAGGATTCATTCGTCAATTGAACGATCTATAGACACCGCCCTTATGGTGCTCAATTTCCATGCGTGTTAAACTTGTTTCAATAACAACTCGATAGGGTTGATCCAACTTTGGATGCCCCTGAAGAAAGGAAGGCTATCAAAACATCGCAGAAATAGGTATAGCAGAGTTGCGAGGGGTGTCCAGTTGGTAAATGAACCCTTCTATATACGAAGCGGTGGCCACGGTATACTTACAAGTCACCACTGAGCAGCGCAGGGAACTGGGGTTGAATGGTGCGGGTAAGGGGCAAACTGTTGTTCCGACTCCACATCCCCACTCTCAACCCCCGGTGCTAATGAATTCCAGGGAGCCGGATCTCGCGGGTGTAACGGCCACTAGGGACGTGGATACTCAAAACTCAATGATTTGATGCTGGGGGTGTGTAGAGAGTGGAAATTGAACCGTGATTTCGTTGTTGGCGAGGAGTCGAGGACGGCGGATTGTATGTACGAATATGCTCTGGTGAAACTATGACGGGTCCACCTCGAAATTACAGTGGGTGGACTGGGAATGGAGGAGTAAGGTAGTTTTCTGGTTGGAGTTAGGAAAACTCTTTGCCTGTTCATCTTCTTGATGCATCAGTCTAACTTGAAATCTGACTTCACTCGTCTCCAAATCTACTCTCCTCTCCTTCTTTGAATGATGTGAGAGAAGCAGGAATCTGAGAGTGTGTATCTCTCAGGAAATTCTCATTAGCAATGCTCCCTCGGTTTACCACTCACCTCTCACTCTGTGCATCAGCGTACATATTTGTTGAAGAATCGCATAATCTCACATACGACCATAGACTGAAGAGAATTGGGCATCCCGTCCGCTCTGCCATACACAAGCTTCAGATCGGTGGATTAGTAGTTGGGTGGGTGACCACCAGCGAATCCCCACTGTTGTATGTCTTTTGTCCTTTTTGTTTCCACCTAGCCTCCTCGCAAGTTACCACCCGCCCAAATCGGAGTCCGTCTCCTTTAAATCTCCAGCAAAGCATTTTCCAAATACCACACATACCTAGATAACAAATAGCATTTACTGAAACGAGACCCATCGATTCGAAACAATTATTTTAGTTTCTGAATCTATGTGCAACTCTTCCTCTAAGAATTCGATCATCGAAATCCAAAATTCATCTTCATCCTCATATCCAATTAATAGTGCCTTTCCTTTTCCTGCCAAGCCCTCCCCCCCGTATTTAGTGTTTTTCAGTTCCCGAGACTCTTTTTGAGAAGGTAGAGATGTGGGTTTATGATCACCATGATTACCTGGTCCGTTCATATACTTCGATTGTGTGTAGATCTTGGTGAGCTGAGCTGAGCTGGTATGAACCGAGCAGTATGCGAACCGTGCTACTTCAATTCAACCTTTCGGATTGGGTTTCTTGCGAGAGTAGAATTTGAGAAATTTGATCATTGATGTGGCTGATTTGAATGTGTGAATGGATTGGATAGGTAGGTGAATGAATGAATGAATGAATGAATAGACGGACATTAAACACATTATTCGATTGCTCGTTTAGGGAATTCTTGTATCGTCCCTTGGTCCATCTATACATTCATACATTTGATAAACCATCCAAACCTTGGAATATGTAACCATTAGACGCCACAACATCATTATGAAAATCCCAAGAATACCCGCCAGTACCGTAGTATATTTTTAAGGCCCTCTAATAATCAATACCCATGCATGAAAATAATATCGATCGCAACCTATCCCTCGAATTGGCGGGCTTTAAAAGCCATGTACACTCGGAGCCCTTTCTCCTCCCCTCACATCTCTGCTTCCCCCACGCACACTCACGCCCTGCGGCACCCCCATCTCCTCGTCAACCTCCCCCTCTCTCCCATAGCTAACATCAACCTCCACCGTCTCCTTGATCCCAAATCTCCATGCCTCTCTCAATATGCTCTCATCACTTCCATTATCCATCCCCGACGCATTTCTCTCACTATTCACTTGCGTGTTATAACTTGACTTTCCACCTCCTCGACTCCTTTCGTTCGCGGAGAACTCATCGCGACGCAATGAACTTAATGCATATCCACCCCCTGATTTGCTTCCGCTTTTGTTGGGATAGGGACCACTTCCTTCGTCGGAAGACTTTGTTTGGCCTCGGAGTCGCTTGTAGAGTGGTCGAAGAACGGGAATGCAGGCACATACTATGGCGACAAGAAGTTCGCTGGAGCCCCAAAGAATGAGAGGTACTGTGTCATCTGTGGGCTGGTATGAATTTTGTTTCTTTGGAATCATGGTGATTTCTCGTGAAGGATGCGTGAAAACTTACAAGTATAATCGGTTCGAGATGCCAGACCTCCTAGCTCAATGGCCCGAACAATACCACACATTCCCGCACTAAATAGAACTTCCATCAGCATGAAGTTCAAAAAGTTCTCCACAGCTCCTGATTCAGGAAAACTTACAAAACACCCAACGTGAGACCGAAGGAAATAGTCAACCTCTCCTTCTTTTTGAGTTGAACAGGCGCCAGAAAGTACCATGGAAACAATGCCAGAGTAAAATCCATCATCGCTGTATAGCTTCCCGAGAAAATTGCATTCGCTGTGAAATTGAAGTTGACAGTGTGAGGGAGTGATGGATCAAAGACTGCCGCAATGGGAGAACTTTGGAAGAAGTCGAGAAGGGCGCAGGAGATACAGACAATAAATGTACTGACGATACAAACCCAGAGGAAGACTTTATGCCAGGGAAAAACGACGAGGCGCAGGAGAAATACAGCTACGGCGGACTTGCTGGTGGCGATGGCAATGATATTGCATGTTTGGCCAGCGATTTCCATCTTGTTCGACATGACAAATCTAGAACGCACGAGAATCAGTTCTTATTCTTCCACATAGTTTAGTACAGTAACTGCATCAGGCCTGCATCAAGAAATGAATGAAGATATGGAGATCGAAACATTCAAACTAAGTTGAGCATAGGCTGTTTAATCTGTAAAGGATGAGATAACTCACTGAGCAGGCGTGATATCGGCAAAATGAGATCCCAATCCTTGGGTGGCTGCCGCCGTACAGAAAGCTGTATATGCCACGAACAAGACCTATGATAATTGCTTCGTTAGCATTGAATGACAAAAGATAGGTTCGCAGTTAGCACTCACAAGACTGGCGACAATAAGCCAATCATCATACCCCGTAGCTTGAACGATGTAGTATCGAGTGTACATCCGCAGCCCTACAAAAATGGCTGCAGCGAATGTCTCAATCCACATCACCAAGATAATGATAGGACCTAAAGCTGACAAGTGACCCATCGTGCCAGCGGGCTGGTAGGCCCTAGACGTAATGTATATCTGCCTTTGGAGTTTTCTCACTATAACTGTACCGTCCGATACTATTGATGTAAATATATCAAGTTGCTCTTGGTATAGATAATTCTTGCTGTGTCGGTATTTGTCAACAAACTTTTGCTAATAAGATACAAAATAATGTAAAGAATGGGGTCTGCATCTGAAATATGGACTTTTCCCTTTATTTCATCAAGTAATATAAAGATTAAAAAAGTAATTCTCTGCATAGGGAGCAAAAGTCTGGGATCCAGAGAGGATCTTCATGACGAATACAAATTCGGAACTTACTTATTCGCACAGTGTCTGTATGTTGGCCGGAGTTTTAACCTAGGGGCCCGAAAATGGGAAGTTAAATTTTATGAATGTTGATGAGCGGCACTTCTTGGCTGGTTCCTTTTTTGAGGCAACTCGTGCTGCATGTTTTCTTCTTTGCTTGCAAGTAAATACCATGAAGAATCCAACGGGAAAGCTCATCCCTGGTGGCGGATAGCATTACATGAAGTAGAGCTGAGTCGATCCCAAGATGTGAGCCTATCGCGGGTGCCCTAAAAAAAGTTCCAACAATAGGGATAGGAACTTCTGTAGTAGTTGATGGGGCTAGTTGCATGTGAAGAGATGCTACTGGAATGGTTTTCAGTGGAGCCGTGTCAGAATTGGATCAGGGACTGATATGCTATATACGTATGTGAAGTTGAAATGTGGAGACTAATCACCGATAAAAAACCTTTGGATATCAAGGATTGTGAATGAACTGCTTACGGCAATTATTTTACTTAATAAAAGTCGGTTGTCCTTTGAAAGTTCCGAACTTTCCCACAAGTCCATTGATACTAAGAAGCCTTACTTTTACGGATAAATAATGAGACCCTGAAAGAAAGGTCCATATGGTGTGCATTCAAGTAAATTGTGACAATCCAACAACTTATTTCGCACTGGCATTGCTTCTGGGGTGTTTTCCTGTGGAAAATCTCTAGCTACCTAGACAAGTTAACCGCCACATTAAACTCTCCAAACCCGAAACTCTTGAAAAGCAACAGTATTATTTCGAAATTGAATAACAAGATGAAATGTTGATCAGAATCTTAGAGAGTTTAGAATAGCTATACTCGTACACTGTAATCATTTCATTATTGTGACTCAACTCATGATTAAGAAACATTGATAGTCCAATCCAGTGAAAATTATTGAAAATTAAGTGATTGACACTTTTTCCGTCCAGCTGGGGAAAAACTGCTTTTTCTTTCAAATGACCTTGATATCGACATGGAAAGATGCCATCAGTCATTATTGCTAAGGTCAAGAATGCAGAGTACTGCAGCTTCCAAGGATCCCTTGATAGGTTGCAAGGAAAGTTGCAAGGGCCAGGGTATCCGGCCCGCAATTGGAATACGGAATCTCTTCGTCGTTCCGAGAGTGAAGCGGTTCCTGACTCTCCATCTTCATGGCACGATTAATGCATGTCGATTCGGCTTACATAGGAAGCAGACTCGAGGCAGAATGCCAAAGATGTGCACCATTCGAGGGAAGTAAAATGGAGACTTCCAATTCCATATCCACTATAAAATTACGACAAGGAAGAGGAAAGGAAAGCCGTGCACTAAATTGGCAAGTTCCCACTTGGTACCTCATCCCGCAGAGCACATAACTCCACAGATATCCATATGAGAACGGGCATAGGACCCATATATAATATAAACGAGCTGTCATTGGCACTCCACAATCCGTTGAGCTATTGTGGACCGAGGCTTGTTTACTTCCAAACGAGGGGAGAATAACGTGGAACCTTTGTAGTTTAGTATCACCATGCTAGTCGTGCATGTCATCGCGAAGTTTAAACACTGTTCAACAACTGGTGTTACATAAACCTCTCCTTGTCACATTCGCGATATGGATCATCCTTTGAACTCCTGTAGCAATGTCTTCAATTGACGGCCGGTCTGGCGTCAGCGCCTGTTCTTGGAGTCTCTTCCATATGTTTCAGAGAACAACCCCACTACCGTGTGATTGTAACCACCGCAAATTGAGGGTTGCTCCCCGTGTGACCCACTGGAAAGGCAACATTTGGCGGAAGATCATGCCTCTTCGATAGGAACTTACTCCGTCTAGTGGTTTGCAGACAGGCTCAGAGTAGATAACAAGCCCGGGAGGTTGAAAGCGCTTTTGTCTTTCTCGAAGTATATAAATCTCTTGGGTGGCGTACCCGATCATCTGTTTCTTCTTGAATTGATCACCTCGTTTTTGTTCAAGGCATATTTCTTAACATCTTAATCCACATTCTTTCCTCGCAAATCAAAAGAGATGGCGGCCCCTCTTATTACCACTGGCACCCCTCTCGCCCTTCGTGTACCAAACGCAGCTACCACACCAGCAGCAAACGATCCTCTTGCCTTGCCACCAGGAACTACTTCAGAGAAGTTCGCAGAATTCATTTCTCATGCTGAACGAACAACTGGTGCCGAAAATGTCATCATTATCAAGAAGAAAGAAGAGCTCACAAAGGAACTCTACACTGACCCTTCCAAAGCGCACGATATGTACCACCTCTTCGACAAAGATTACTTCGTCGTATCCGCCACCATTGCACCCCGCAATGTCGAAGAAGTCCAAGCAATTGTTAGACTCTGCAATGAGTTCGAGATCCCGCTTTGGCCATTCTCAATTGGCAGAAATGTAGGATATGGAGGAGCAGCTCCAAGAGTTCCTGGTAGCATTGGTTTGGATATGGGCAAAAATATGAACAAAGTGCTAGAAGTCAACTCTGAAGGGGCATATGCGCTATTAGAGCCAGGTGTGACATTCTTCGGTCTATACGACTACTTGAAGGAGAAGAAGCTAGACGATCAACTCTGGATTGACACACCGGATTTGGGTGGAGGTTCTGTCGTTGGAAACACTATTGAGCGTGGTGTAGGATATACTCCATACGGAGGTTTGTGATAACTTGCATCTGAGAATGGGACACTTGCTGATGCTTCAAGCAGATCACTTCATGATGCATTGCGGTCTCGAGGTTGTGCTTCCAACCGGAGAGCTTATCAGGACAGGCATGGGTGCTTTACCCGATCCAACGCAACCAACAGTTGAGGGCGGAAGTTTAGATCAACAACCAGGAAACAAGTGTTGGCAGGTATGCTTAGTCTAAGGACGCAACTTAGAAATGTTTCAAGCTCATCTTATTCTAGTTGTTTCCTTATGGTTTTGGGCCATACAACGATGGTATCTTTTCACAAAGCAACCTTGGTATTGTGACGAAGATGGGCATTTGGGTAAGTAATATGAACACCTCCGTCCTTGAGCTACGACTCTATACTGACCGAGATAATCTTAGCTTATGCCAAATCCGGGAGGCTATCAACCTTATCTCATCACTTTTCCAAAGGATGCCGACTTGCCAAAGATCGTTGACATCATCCGTCCCCTTCGATTACAGATGGTCATTCAGAACGTTCCTTCAATCCGACATATTCTGCTCGACGCAGCAGTGATGGGAACCAAAAAATCATACTACGATGTTGATCGTCCTCTTAATGAAGAAGAATTAGATGCCATAGCCAAGAAACTCAACCTTGGACGCTGGAACTTCTATGGTGCTTTATACGGCCCCAAACCTGTACGCGATGTCCTCTGGCAAGTGGTTAAGGATGCTTTTGGAACTATTGAAGGTGCCAAATTCTTCCTTCCAGAAGATATTAAAGAGAAGTGCGTTCTTCACATTCGTGCAAAAACCCTACGAGGTATTCCAACGATTGATGAAATTTCCTGGGTAGACTGGCTTCCCAATGGTGCCCATCTTTTCTTCTCGCCTATCTCGAAGATCAGTGGTGAAGATGCAAGCAAGCAGTATGCTCTCACCCAAAAGATGACTCTAGAGGCCGGGTTTGATTTTTTTGGAACATTCACCATCGGTATGCGCGAGATGCATCATATCGTATGCTTAGTATTTGACCGTGAAGATGAGGATCAAAAACGACGCGCCCACAAGCTTATCCGGGAGCTCATCCAAGTCTGTGCCGACAACGGATGGGGAGAATATAGAACTCATATTGCCTTGATGGATCAGATTGCAGAAACTTATGGTTGGAATGATAATGCGCAGATGAAGTTGAACGAGAAGATCAAGAACGCTCTTGACCCCAAGGGTATTTTGGCACCCGGAAAGAATGGTGTCTGGCCGGCATCATATGATCGTTCAGCCTGGAGATTAGATGCCAATTCCGACAGAACAAGACCTTGATCAATCAAAGGATCAGGTAGACTATAATCATGTATATTTTACGAAAACAAAAAAATAATCGAGAACATACATATATACATGCTTCAAACGCATTGCATATGCCAGAAGAAACATAAATAGTAGTAAAAGTGTTTCAGGACATAGCCCATTATCACCAAATCTTTTGAATGAGGTCGAAATCATGTAAAATGCCTACATCTGAAGCTTTCTGATAAATTTTAATTGAAATGATTGTGATTGCGATTAACTTTGATCAAGTGATTTTGATATGACCCAGCAAGATCACGTGATATGTCCAGATTTACTGCTGGGCGGAGGGTTCCTTCCATTTACACATCGACAAAATTGAAAACTAATTCAAGCCATCTCAAACCCACCTCAAAATACAATGAGTGAAACGTATAATTCCCCAAGCATCAAATATATGCACCGAAGATATGTCAAATTTCGTCAAAGGAATGAGAACTGATTTTCGATTTCTTCCAGTGAACCACCCGTTGATAAACGTCCAAGTGTGGCTGAAATCCTCGCACATAAATCCTACCCAGATACAATATGGAGACTTACCCCAACGCAGAGTGGAAAGTTGCCGATTGGAGTTGGTAGAGGAGGTCCGTTCAAGATAGACTGGGAGGTTCATGGCAGTGGAGAGACGAAGGTTGTGGTAAGTGGACAATCTTGGATTTTGGTGTAACGTATATCACATGCAAGTGCATGGCGGACTGGAATGCGGAGAATGGGTAGCTCAAAGCTCACGAGTATTGAGACTCGTACATGAGTGTTATTCATGCTTCTGCTCATCCCTCTAGCTTATCGCCGGCACTGTTTGCATCTCCGCAAACTTTTGACCTTATAGACGAAACTTGGTCTCAATTAGGTCACGTGTTTCGTGCATCAACATGCTAATCTGGAGTTTTCGTCCAGTGGATTATGGGCTTAGGTTCTAACAAGTCAACATGGCAAAGACAAACCCTGTACTTTGGTCATGAAAGAGGAGATAAATATTCCTCGTTAGTATTTGATAATCGAGGTATGGGCGGATCAGACACCCCCATCCTACGATATTCTACCTCGGAAATGGCCAAGGACTGTATCGAGCTACTCGACCATTTAGGTTGGACGAAGGACAGACAACTTAACATCACTGGAGTTAGCATGGGTGGAATGATTGCACAAGAATTGGTGAGTCTCCAAATATCTTATCAATTCCATCATCCAAGACTCATTTGACATATAGGCATTGATGATACCAAACCGAATTGCTACTCTCAACTTACTTTCCACGGCACCTTATATCGAAAATACGACTAGCTTCTTCGAAAATTTGCGCACAAGAGTTATGATGTTTGTCCCCAAACCACTTGATCGATCTGTTTTGGATGCATCGTTGTCGTTGTTTCCTGCGTCATGGCTATCATTACCAGATACTAGTCCGTTATTACTCTCTTTACCCTTGTGATGCACTCTATATACGCCGTTGTATTTTATTTTATTTCCACGACTCTACTTCCTCTGCTCCAAAGATCTAACATCAAAATTAGCCCATCTGCCTTCGGATTCAACCCCCTTGGTTGAATCACCACCAGGTCATCCTTTTCCCTATGCACACTTCTCTACCAATTACGAGCGTTTTGCTGCTGCTGAATTAACCAAACGACTCGATCCGAAAGCTTTCAAAACGTACGGGTTTCTGCTCCAGGCTATTGCTGCTGGTTGGCACCACAAGAGCCCTGCGCAATTGAAAGAACTAGGGGACAAAGTGGGAAGAGACAGAATCGCAGTCATGCAGTGAGTATTTTAACTAATTGATGAGTTGATACATTCGACGTTCTGATGACCGAATAAAGACTAACATCCCACATAGTGGCACACGTGACCGACTTATATCGTTCCCTCATGGGGAGAAACTGATGGCATTTCTTCAACCAGGTAGAGCGGAAATCCGAGAAGGTGTTGGGCATGCAATTCCTATCCAGGAAGAAGATTGGTTTCACGAGAAGATGGTGGCATTTTTTGAGGAATTTAATTGAGATAAAGAGGAATATAGATTCAAACACATCTAAAGTACACTATATTGTCAATACATAGATACCTTCATCATAGATCCGCATCTTGTCCATCACTACATCTACCCCTAACCTTGACTCTTGATGAGTCTTCCCTATCAAAAAGGTGCATGTCTATCTGAATGTTCATTTTCACTTACCGGGCAGGATACCTGGGCTGGAGAGTTGACCTAGCATCTCTATCTATTAACAATGAACAATGCCGTACGAACTACCCTTACAGTCTTCACCGGATCAGTAATGCTTTCAAAAGAACGACGGATAACAAAAGAGATATCTTGAGACACCTGGGCAGACTGACATCTCGAAAAGGTTCTCGAGTGGCTGTGCCACATATAGATTGACAAAACCCGTGGACATCTAACAACTTGGGCGACACCAGCCACATCTGCGGAAGTGATATATCGCCGGGGATATCAAGATTTCTAATTCAAAACTTTGCATCTCCTTCAATTCAAAACCAAACCATGTCCCAATCGAAGAAAAAAGATACAAGACAGCTAGTGCGATCGAATTGTTAGCAATCTTTTACTTCATTTTGCACAATCATCACTGAAATATTGATATTCCAACTGATCTCTCCATGTTCTGCACACACTTCTTCATTGATATGGAATTGAAAGACGATTGCACGACCTATTCAACGATTGTCAGATTGCAATTGGCATTTAATCTTCCTTTGAGGACGAAAGGAGTAGGGTAAAGTTAGCCGCATGTACCGCCCATTCATGGAAACAAGATCCGGTTGCGATGATAATTGGATGAAGATATAACGTTCCCGTTTCCCTTGCATTCTACTAAACTGCAACCGACCCACCGGACAAGCAAAGTTAGCAAGTTTTTTGACTTTTTTAAGTCCCGATAACTTTTCGGATTGGTTGATACGCATAGCAGATTGTCGGAAATGTATCCATTCTTTCTCTGCTTCGTCTGGTGTTTCCCGAAGAACGAAAAAAAAAAAACCTTGGGAGAATTTCTTGTTCTTGATATATACGGCTTTGTGTCTAGTCAAACTCTATCACGTTCGTATCCACTCGTAAGGTTACAGAAGAATTTTGTATTTCGTATGCTCTCTTCTCTTAGGAAAGGGCGTCAAAATTTCCCCAGAAAGCGAATCCACTAAAGAAAGAACACGACTTGGAGTGCGTAACTCAACCTCTTATTTATCGCCATCTACAACTTACAAACAGTTTCTCGCCATGTTACTCCTGTAGGAATGTCGCCATTGTTTTATCAGAACCTTTCATTGCGTTCCTTGTTTTGTGATCTTCAATCATACTTGCCCAAACAGAGTAACGAAACTACCCCACCATAACACAACAATAAAGTCTCGACTCTCCTTTCGACCAGAGCTGACTGCGAGCTGACTGCCCTGCCCTTCGATTGCTATACCTATCACTTTCGGCCTGGAAGTGAGGAAGGGCTTGGGATTAGGTGTTTGGCCAGAACTGTTGCCCGAGTAAGAGAGACATACAACTTAAGTAGGTGATAGTAAAACTTTGCAATGGAACATCTGCCGTCAATACTCAAAGGGCTCGGCATAACCTCCTCAGCAGATGGTGAATCAAAAGATTCAAAAAAGTTTACTTCGGTAGCGGTGGACCCAATTTTAAGTCCTCTCGGGTCGCAAGATGATTTAAGCAGTATAGGAGTTCTCGAGTTACTCGAATCAGACGAAAGGGCGGTTTTTATACTCGACCTCGCGAATCCAGATGACACAACGCCGGTATATACGAATCCGCGATTGAAAGAATTGCAAGTGCTAGGAAGCAAAGTTGGGGAATCTCTTGATTTGCGCGCGGCAACCAAGGATGAAAAGCACAGGGGATTTTTAGAATGGGCAGGAGGTGATTTCAGCGATGGAAAAATACCTGTTACACTATATTGTGGAGTGAGATGGAGTGCGCAGACAATGAGAGATCGATGGAGGGTTATCGCTGGAGATGTAGGAGGAAGGATAGACGTTACCGGGGACAAACCTACCATTCAACGATCGCAAACTCTCTCGCCACAGAAAGCACGACGCATGTCAAAATCTGACGACGCATCTAGATCCTCACTCGAATCTCAATTAGAGGCATATCGGCTTCATCGGGAAGATACAATATCGATATTTCCACCAGCACAAGAACCAGTCACTTTGAAAGAGGTACTTGAAGTGGGAGATACTATACTTGGTCCGTTTGATATATTGGCGCCAGACACAATAGTAGAATTGTCGCCGCATGTACGATTCTTCCTCGATTTCGATTGGGCATCTACGGAGCTTGGCCCCATAGATTCTTGGCCGGTTGAGCTACGAAGAATGTGCAATTTTCTCATGTCAGACCCAAGACCTGCGGCAATGTACTGGGGTCAATCCAGAGTTATGATGTACAATGAACCATATATGTTAGTCACAGGACAGAAGCATCCAGGGATGATGGGGAAAACCTTCTCAGAGGCATGGGCTGAAGTCGAAGACGCATTTAGCGATTCATTCAACAAGGCGTATGAAACTGGTAAAGCTTCGACCATGGATGATGCAAGGTTCTTTATCGAAAGACATGGATACTTGGAGGAGACCTACTATTCATTATCGATTTTACCGTTCAGTTGCAACAGCTACGGTAGCCACCTTGCTTTGTAAGTTGGGATTTTAATTGTCCCTACGTTAGTTTGAAACAGGCACTAATTTGATGTGTAGTTACAATTCTGTATTTGACACTACTAGGCAAGTAGTTGCAGATCGTAGAATGATATTTCTATTACGACTTGGGCAGTTCATTGCTTCATCTCGAGAACCCAAGGACTTTTGGCAGCAGCTTCTACGGGGGCTTGAACCAGATCATCCAGATTTACCGTTTGCTTTGCTGTACTCAGCCGGTAATGACGTTAACGAGACCCTTTCGGAATCTTCGGCTTTAAGCCACAGCTCCAACTGGGTACTGGAAGGCTCTGTTAGATTTCCTGGTGCAGGGAAGAATGTACCGAAACATATAAATTCTGATAATCCCATGGAAGAATTTCTACCCAGTTTTAGCGACCTTGTCAAATCAGATTACCCTACGCTCTTACATCGAGAAGATGGCACTATTCCTTCATCTTTGACTACTGCTCTTCAGGGTACTCTTGCATGGGATACAGTTGTTTTCTTACCAATTAGAGCTACCACAGAAAGCGTTCTCGGCTTTCTTATCATTGGACTCAACGCTCGACGAAAATACGATGATGACTATAGATTATTCATACAACTTCTCAGTCGACAACTCGCTACTTCAATGGCTGCGGCAGTACTTGTTGAAGATGAAATCCAACGTGGTCGAATGGCTGCCGAACATGCTTACCAAGATCGTAATCGACTCTCAAAGAAACTCGAAATTCAAGCTCATGAAGCCTCAGAGATTGAAAGTCGTTTTAGAAGAATGGCTGATCTAGCTCCTGTTGGGATGTTTCATATTGGCGTTAATGGCAAATTAGTTTATGCTAACGAACTTTATTATAACCTGACGGAACATGACAGAGATACCAATACTGAGATGGGCTGGTACGAGGTACTTATGAAGGAAGATTGGCCAATCATGGATGTGCAATGGAAAAAACTTATGGGTGGGGAACCTGTCTCCTTCGAAATCCGGCTACGAGCACTTTTCAAGGGGGCCGATAAAATCGGAGATGAAGAAATCGATGGTGCAATCTGGATAATAGCAGCTGCTTATCCTGAAAAGGCGCCAGATGGTACTGTCGTTGGAGTTTTGGGTTGCTTGACCGATATCAGTCGGCAGAAGTGGGCCGAAGATTTTCAGAAACGGAAAATGCTTGAAGCGATTGAGTTGAAGCGTCAACAGGAGAATTTTATTGACATGACATCACACGAAATGAGGAATCCATTATCAGCCATTATTCAATGTGCAGACATGATCGGAATTTCGGTCAAGGAATTTGATGGAGGAACCAATGATGTTATTCTTCCAAGAGAAGCGGTTCATGGATACGCAGACGCAGCTTCGACGATCATACTATGTGCTCAACATCAGAAAAGAATCATCGATGACATTCTCACGCTGAGCAAGTTGGATTCCGATTTATTATTCGTCACTCCTACCGAAGTACAGCCATTGCCTATCATCAAAAATGCACTGAAGATATTTGATGGAGAATTGCAGAAGAGTGATGTCGCGCTTAGATTTCATGTATCACCTACATTCGAAGAACTCAATATTGACTGGATCAAATTGGATCCAAGTAGATTAGTACAGGTCCTTATCAATCTTGTCACAAATGCGATTAAGTTCACACAAACTCAACCAAAACGGAATATTGCCATCACAGTGAGCGCAGCGCTCGAGCCTCCTAGCACACCAGGTCTTGTCTACCTTCCAAGAACTAATAGTCACAAAGACAACACGCCAGATGGTGAATGGGGAGATGGAGAGATTGTGTATCTTCATATTGAAGTCCAAGATAGTGGCCGCGGTCTCGATGAAACGGAACGCAATCTTTTGTTTAAAAGATTTTCCCAGGCCTCACCACGAACACATGTTCAATATGGTGGATCCGGTCTCGGTCTCTTTATTTCTCGAGAACTTACAGAGCTTCAAGGTGGTCAAATAGGTGTCGCCTCAAAAGCAGGGGTTGGAAGTACCTTTGCATTTTACATTCAAACTCGGCGTTGTGATCCACCTGACGATAAAGATTCTTTTGTTCCTCAAATGGATGCTCAAGCGCAAAATAATATCATTACGAATAACTCTCTTGCTCGAGTTAAAGGACCTACTCGCCATCCTTTGAGAAGTCGTCGTTCTCAAAGTCCGGCTTCTTCAACACCAAAACATATTCTAATCGTAGAAGATAACATTGTCAATCAAAAAGTAGATTTTTCCCTCATACTTTTTGTTTCAGAACTTCAAGCTAATTATTCTTTAGGTCCTGAGTAAACAACTTCGTAGCGCAGGTTGTATTGTAAGCGTCGCAAACCATGGTCTAGAAGCCCTTGAATTTCTTGAAAAATCCACATTTTCAGCAACTCTACCAGAAGGCGTGTCAGGTGTTCCATGCAATATTTTATTAATGGATTTGGAAATGCCAATAATGGATGGTCTTACTTGTGTACGACAGATACGCAAATGGGAAAAGGAAGGAAAAGTTAGAGGGAGAGTACCGGTCATAGCTGTAACGGCTAATGCAAGGAGTGAGCAGATTGCTAGAGCGAAAGAGGCGGGTATGGATAGTGTTGTTACTAAACCTTTTAGGATAGGAGAGTTGGTACCAGAGATGGAGAGATGGTTGGTGAGGGGAGTAGTGTTGGATAGGTTGAAGGAAGGTGCAAGGGATGAGAGAGCTGGAGTAGAGAGGAGAGATAGTGCACCGATTTAGGGATGGGAAAGGGGAGAGGCAAATGATGCATAAAATGGGCGTTTGGATTCGCTAAATTGGATGGATAGAAACACTATATAGAGATTTGGATGGGTCAGGTATGGTATGGTATGGTATCTTCACTGCGATATTATCACATATTTGCATGGGAGAGTCTATATGGTTAGGCGTCCTACGATGATTGTTTTAAGAAGGTTGGGATATAGGTAGGTAGGTAGCATACATAACATAGCATAGCGAGGGTGTTTAGCGATTTGGAATTGGAATTGGGAATTGGAACATGGAATTTGGAATTTGATATTTGTACGGTAGTGAGCATTTTGGCATTAGGAAGGAGTATACTAGATTTTTCCTGCTTGCGTTGGAAATTTTGATATTAAGGGAGGGGGGTTGGTTAGTCATTAAGACCAATATACGACGTCGTATTTGATTTGATTTTTACTTCTATTGAATTGAGTTGAGTTGAATCTAACTGAATTGATATCTTTCTCGTTATGTATATCTGTATCTGTATCTGTATCAACTTATCTAATTAAGTACCAGCAGTGAGTGGTGTACCTCGTATTTAATGATTCATTCGTGAACTCAATAAATATACTCACTTCGCTCATCACTCACTCGTACGGAAATACTAGGTAATAATTCTGGCGGGATGGATTTAAACTCATCAATCATCCACACCCAAGCGAGTCAAGTGATCCAACCACCTGCATCCATCCATCCACTTGAGCCACACGCACGAGCCACTTATTTTTTTTTGACCCCACCGGATTCGCTCTTACCCGTCCAAAAAAAAAAGTTAGAAAGAAAAAATTGAAAGCACAGCACAAACTGTAAAAAACATTCATCCGTTCATTCATCCATCCTCCTTTCCTTACCTACCTACCTACCTACCTACCTACACAATCGTATCTCCCCTCCCCCTCCCCCTCCCCCTCCCCCTCCCCCTTCCCTCCACCCTCCCAAAAAAAATTGAACAAAAAAATCAAAAAAAAAAAAAATCAAAAAAGCAACTGATGAGAGTGGGATTCGAACCCACGCCTGTTTCCAGACCAGGAGATTGATTGTGTTAAGGTAACCTTAACCTGGCGCCTTAGACCAACTCGGCCATCTCACCGTGGTGTGTTGTATAGAATTTGTAGAAGAGGGGGGAGGATTGGGATTATATTTGGTGGATTGGGGTGGGGATAATAGTAAGTACGAGTATAAAGAAAAAAGAAAAAAGAAAAAAGAAAAAAAAGAGAAGTATCTATCTATATTAGCTTAATATAATATAATTTATATATACTATATACTATTAAGAGTATAAATATCAAGAATTTTTTAGGGGGGGAATATATATATATATATATATATATTATATAATATATTCTAATACTTTATCTATAACTATTTATATTATTTCTTATTCTTTTATTTTTCTTTTATAGGGTAATAAGAGTTAGAGGTTTAGAGGTTTAGAGATATTTAGATGAAGTAGAAGGATTTCTATAGGATTATTTGAATTAATTAAATTGAGTATATAATATATAATTTAGATTTATAGAATCTCATTATTTAAATATAAGAAATAGAGTTCCTCGTGAAATATAATTTATCTGAGTATAAGGACTGCCGAAGGCACGTCACTAGGTCCGCAGGACCTACTTCGGGCGTCGGCAGCCCGCGCACGATTACAAATTATAGAATTTTCATAGTTTACATCGTAGAGGAATTAATAAAAAGTCTTTGTACTACTATATTCTTTTAAAATATTAGCTGCGCGCTAAGAAGAACTAATACTTTAAGATTAATTTAGAACCAATTGGCTTGTTTTTCAATAGAGTCAAATATCTCAAAATAGAAGTTTTTAACAGAAATACTAGGCATTTGATGAATAATCTATTAAAGAAACGAATCAAATAACTCTGGTGGTTATTGTAACCCTAACCCACGAGCCTTAGTCCTTCCTAGTGCGCGGCTAATATTCCAAAAGAATACAGTATCTACATTATACCTAGTTGATTCATTACTAGTATCTCCAGGGCTACTCTAACACCATCTGTCTTCCCTCCTCCGGGTTTCCATCTACCTTCCCGAGCTTCCCCCTTTCGGGTTTCCATCTACCCTCCTCCTTCCAGATTCTTATTTACCTTCTTAAATAAGCTTAGCTTAGCTTATATTATACCTTCTGATTTTTTCATTTTAATAATAAACTACGAGATGTGGATAGGTGATTATTTGCAAGACGTTCCGAAATCTCAAAGTATATTTTATATTTTAATCTTATATTCAATCTATTTATCAATCTGAAAATCTTATTCTCAAAATTTTGTAACACTTCAAGATCACCAGGATTTATGTACAGACCAAACCGTACATAGAATCACCAAATCAGTCTTCGACCTTGATAATATAGAACCTGTCTCGCCTGTCAATCTAGGTTGTCTTCAAATTGCTTGCTTAGCTCCACCACTCTCGGGCTGCTGTAACGTCGTCCACAACGCGGCCACTAGTGGCTCACCCTTAACCTTACTTACATGCTTCCCGAGGTCTGCATAAATGTTCTCGTTGCTCTGATCTACCTCTATTTTTGGGCAAATAATCACACCCCTAACTCGGAGGGTTTCTGCCTCCCCATAATGCCTCTTCCGAAGTATGAGGAAAGGTCTTTTGTGAAAATCATTAAGTTAAGAGCGCTTTTGGGGGGAGGAGGGGAGGTAGATGTAAGCTCCACTTTTCACTTGAAAATTCTTGGCACTTATTTGATCGATTTTTTCTTAGTCAATAATTTCAAAAATCCCAAAAATCAAAGAAATCCGCCCTTTTGCACTTTGGAAGAGGCTGGTGTTGTGTGCCAGCACGACGCACCCTGTCTGATACTGCTTTATGCACGGATCCTGACCTTACCAACAAGTTCACGAGATTTGGAGAGAATAGCACGAAGCAGCATGCGAGAGCATAGGTTTCATTGGGTGGTGGCCCTGATTATATTGGAGTTACTAGAGCTACGTTTGAACACCCTCTACCGGAGGCTCTTCATAGATTTCAGATCCTAGTTGGACTCATGAGTCATTACCATTACTATCCTAAACATATCGCATGTGTTTGTTGTTCCTACAATTTCCCTTGCTCAGCAAGAAAAACGTCCTCCCTAAGCATAAATGTAACAGAATATTCCATCGATGGTGGAAGAAAGTTCTCCAATTGTCTTAGTTCCGCCATTGTATCCTAGGTCTAACGTCGTATCCAAAGTACCATTAGCCGACGGGGGTTCTACAACAGCAATTAGTCCCAATAATCAACCCACAAGTAGCGGGTTAGTCTTACGATTCTTGATAGTCATAGTATCAGACACCTCCTTCGTTCTGACAGTCTGGTTCTGCGCAGCCCAAAGCGTCCACACGCGATCCACCTGAGCATGATGAAAGACGAAACTGGGGTCTTGAGCAGACGCCCACAAATCATCCTGTAGGCCACCCGTAGCAGTATGGCCATTGCTGTGGAGACCCGTGCTAGCTCCCATGTAGTTACTGAAGCTCTGCAAATCTTCCGCCAACAAGTTGCTTGTGACATTCTGGTAGCTGAGATCTTGTTGCAGAATGTAGTCACGGAAGTTGCGTGTCAGGCAGCGAGGGTTGTATGCGAAGCCGTCTGAGATGGGTGCACCGTGTGGGCCGAGATGGGAGGAGAGATTGACAAAGGGTCCGTCTGTGATGCAGCCGCCGCCGGTTCCAGCTGGCCCAGAGACATTGACGATGACTGGGGTTGGGATAATTATAAAATCCGTGTAGCCTTCAACGTAAGCCCCGCTAGAAGAGGTCAAAGTTAGCAGTCAATAAAATTTTGCTTTTCATCGTGCTCAAGAGCTTTCAAGCATGAAATTGACGTCGCGTAGAGATTGGGGCACTTACTTGCCACCAATAGAAGTGTCGGAACCATCAAAGAGAGGATGCGCGGCAATGGTGTCTGTAGAGGACCAATCCCAGTAAGGTTGAGTTCCTTTGTAGCCACACTCGTCCCGAAGAGCAGTCTCGTACGCCCAGGTGTAGTATCTGTGCCATGCCAGGAAGATGGACTATATCAAAATTAATTTTTGAAACGGATTTTCAAAGCGGAGAGACCTACAGTCCAGTGAATGTAGGCTGTCTGGTTGACATGCACAGCTCCAAAGTCGTCGTGGCGGCTTCGCACACCTGGGACAACAGACAGTGGTGTAATTGGAGGCAGGTTCGTCAGGCACTGAACCGCTGCAATATACTCTTTCTTCTCTGTTGATGACAATGCCCCCCTTGAATTTGTGAGCACATTTCATTAGGAGTACTATAGGTGGCCTACCATTCACGGCGAACAAGTACGTTCTCGGAGGTACAGGTCTCAGAAGGGTTGCCAACTCGAGATTGGAGTATTTCTAGCAAGTTTGCATTGGCGTTCTCAACGAGAGCGTCCAGAGTGGCATTGGTTGAAGCTTGAACCGTGGCGAAGAGGCCGAGAGCAACGGAGGAAAGAATGGTAGAAGGACGCATTATGAATCGATCACAATTAAGGATGATACTTCGAACAACAAATACTGAACAAGTGTGCTACTCAAAGAGAGACGTGAGAAATGCGAATGAGATTGTGACACAACATTGGGAGGAGGCACCTCATTTATAGGATTTGGTGATGCATAAGAGGGACTCAAATCTGAAAATTCGATTGGAGTTGTTCATGGGTTGAAAATGTCGACATTAGAATACTCCATACGGAGGTACATGCCCTAATTTTTGTCTTACCGCCTTGAATTTACCATCAATCAAATCATTTTGCCTATACAAATTAATCCTTGACTTCGAAAGCGGCGAGACAAAAATTGGGGCATATACCTCCGTAATGTCAGCAAATTTTTTAGCGGTCTGAAGCATAACGAGATCCATTCTCAAGATAGCGCTACGGGGCGGCCCGCAGGGTATCTGTATATCATCCCTACGTGCTCGTAGATTTGACATGCCGGAGACCATCAAACTGCCGAAGAAAACCCTATCTTCTTTCAGACTAGGATCAGTATCTGGATTAATAATTATCAGATGCAAAATGATAGGATTATCAGGAGTTCAGCAATCCTATAAGATTTGATTAACTGCTATTGGCAAATCACGGATGTTCCTGATTAGCTTTAACCTTAAAGATCCTAGTTTTTAGCTGACTAATTTTTATGAATTAAGCTTCTCGGATGAGAAATAACCTTAAGCAACAGAAAATGAATTAAGTTTTTCGGATGAGAAATACTCGTACTGCCAGAAAGTATATATCTCCGATGCTAGATGCACATCGCTGGAGTTGTACACCCAATTTCATAACTAGCTTCCAAAACCTTAAATTTTAGTCCTTACATCATTTAACTTCAATACAACTTATAATTAATTTATTCTATAAATAACTTTATAATGCTATGTCCAATATAAATGGTATTTATATCAAATTGAAGCTATAAGTTAGTACTATAAGCTAATATAAAAATTAGTTTTTGCTATAGCTTTCTGGTTTTACTTAAATAATATTAGTAGAATTGAATATATATTAGAATATCAAAAAAAATTCATTATTTCAAATTATTATAAAATACTTATAATGATTTATAAAACGATTATTGTCACGGATCGGCACCCAATCGCAGCTGCGATCGCTCACGTGCGCACGCGCGCACGTGTACGATCACGTGTACATAGTTGATATATAGGTGCGCTCGACGAGCGCTTTGCTTCCGATTCTGTAGTTGTAGATTCTAAGGATAAATTGTACCCTGCTCTCGCAGTTCTTCTAAGGCAAAGCGTCACACTTTGAGAAAGGTTTTTTAGGCTTTTTAGGTGGTGGAATAACAGTATTTGGTTTAGAAGTAAATGTTTACTTTATATCTAAGACTTTTTTAGTTGATTTAGGGATTCTAGTAGATTTTTTGGGAAAAGAAGTAAATAGATCTTTTTGTTTGATAGGGTATTTAGATTTTTTAGTTTTTATAACCATTTTGTATTAATTATTTATTAAATTAGAATATTGATAATGGAGATATGAATAAAATAGTATAAATTAAAAAATTAGAATGTATATTTAAGAAGAAATCATGTGAGGACTGAAATTTAAGGTTTTGGAAGCTAGTTATGAAATTGAGTGTATACTTTCTGTCTGTACAAGTATACAACATTAAATGATTAGCTAATACGCTAACCCTAAATTCTTTGGATTCTTACGATTTGACGAGTTCTTTAAAAAAAAAGACCTTAGGATATCTGTATAATATCCCTATATACTCGTAGATTTAATAAGTCGAAAATAATAAAATTACTAAAGAAAATCCTATCTTTTTTCAGATTAAGATTAATATTATTACAATCACATACTAGAGTATATTATAGAGATTAAATAACTAGAATAAAGAAGTTAAAGAAGAAAGAGATCCTTAAGGAATCTCTTTATCTCTTATATACATCTAGTTCAAGCTAGTCTTGAACTAGGCTGTGATGAGTCATCACGTGTCACGTGATATTCGTTATAAATATCTGAAAATTATTATTAGATATAAGATAATAAGATTGTTGAGAGTTCGATATTCCTAACTATTATTCTAACGAATTTTTTTAATATATTTTCTAAGATATTATTTATAAATACTCGATATAGTCTATGTGTTTAATAAGACTATTAATAATTTTAAAAATAATATTATAAATAAAAATAAAAATTTAGAAAAAAAGTAATAATAAATAAATCAAATATATTTCTAAAACTTTTTTATTAAAAAAGAAGTAATAAAAGATTTTATGAATATTATTATATTTTATATCTTAAATAGAAAATAATTAAAAATGATTTTAACATAATTTATAATTAAAGATATTATTAAATTAAAAACTTAACATTTATTAAAAAAAAATATACATATATATAAAGTTTTTATTATAACACTAACTATATATTCTATAGTTGTCTTTATATCTTAAATATAGACTATTAGTATACTTTACTTTCTATAAATAGGACTTTATTTTTTTATAACTTTTCTATTTTTATAATACAATATAAATCTTCATCTATACCTTAACAATTTGTATTATCTTTTTAAAAGCTATTATAACTTCATTTTAATTACAAATCCACCGAAGCCACAACCTGATCACATCGATCATACTCATCGCCGCCTCGCTGTCTACCCTAGTTGCTGTTGTTCTGCATACCCTAATTGCCGTTATTCTGCGTACCCCAGTTGCCGTTGTTCTGGACCTCTGCAAAGTCCCAATCACACATCCTAAAGATAGTCGATCAAGCATTTGCACCTGGTCTATTCCCACAATTCCTGTTCTTGCATTATATGCTCAACTCTATCGAAACCGATGTCTCTCCGTTCACAGATTTGTTTAACGATCCAAACACTGCACATTTCGCAGCTGTCCAAGTTGTGTTTGAGTCGATCGAGTCGATCACAAACACACTCCAAACCCAAGCCGCCGATGCCCAGTCCAAGGTTACCGAATTACGTAGAAATCAAGGACGAGTCCTCGAAAGGGATGACGAAACACACGAAGAAATCCTCGATTGTTACAACGAGGACGGATTTCACTACCAAATCAAATGGAAACATCACCCAGCCCACTAGTACTTACGCCAAGCGCACCCCCGAATCGAGGCCGAGGCAGACCTAAAAAGCTCCGTCAGTTGATTACTACTCCCAAGAAGGTTCATTTTAATCCAATGGTAGAGATTAGAGTATTTTAGTGTTATGTTGTTCTCTCAAGAGCTAATTTGTATTGCGATCGCAGATCGATCGCCTCGAGCGGGGGATACTGTTACAACACTAACTACATATTTTGTAGTTGCCTTTGTACCTTAAACACAGACTACTAGCATACCCTACTTCCTATAAATAGGATCTCACTCTTCCATAGCTCTTCTACCCTTATAATATAATATAAGTCTTTGTCAGGGAGCGACCACCTGATAGGATTTATATAATAGATTTATTATTCTAAATATATTTGGAATACTCTATACTTTTATAGGTTAATAATAAAGTAAATTAATTCTAATATTATATTTTAAATATAAGGGTGTCTCATTCTAAATATCTTATTTAGTAAATCTAAGCAAAAATAATCATACTTTGAATTTAATTTCAATAATTGATTTAGCTACAGTTATTGTATTTCTAGTATTTTATATTTATAGATCTATATTTATAGAAAACTAACTCCTTTCTAATTGGTATATATCAAATAGATCTATATAAGACAAAGGTAAATATCAGGAAACGATTATCTAATAGGATTTATATAGTAGATCTATTTTTTCGAATATATTCGAAATATTCTATACTTTTATAAATTAGTAGTAAAGTGGATTAATTCTAATAGTCTTTACCTGTACCTTAAAAGTTTTATATAAATATAAAGAATAAACTATTTATAGTTATTAAATTTCTAAGTGTTTGATAATTTATTCAAAAAAAAATTAAAATTATAACAATTCTTAGAATCCTAATGTTTTGATTAGTTAATGAGACTGTTTAGCGAGGGCGCTTATAAATGACATCTTACTTGTAGAGGATATTAGTAGATACCTACCTAGGTAGTAACATTAATTAATAGAGGGGCAATGAGAGCAATGAGATGAGCTAATAATCGAGTTAATGTCGCCATTCAAAATTCAACGAAAAAATTTATTTGTTACTTGGGGCTTTAGGATATTAGATTATCGTATAGATTTGTGAATACAAACCTCCCTTGAAAATTGAAATATTCTACGGAGGTTGACGGCGTAAGTATTGTAAAACACACCAAAAAGCGACCGAGCTTTTCCCCATTTTTATCGTTTGGACCAATCATATCATCACGCTGGTTGAAAATTTATATGGTGAACTCCAAACGGTGAAAGTATTGTAAATTTATTCTACCCCTAGCAAAATCACTAAAATCTATCAAAATTTATATTTTTCTTTTCAGAAATACTATTCTAAGCTTATTTAGAACCTATAGGAAGCTTTAAAAGCTTTAAAAGCTTCAAAATTAAAAGAGTTGAAAATTTGAATAAAAGGGGTCAAAATTTCGAATTTTGGGGGGGATGGCTGAATATCTAGTAAAATTAGTAAAAGCAGCATTGGAATTTCGTAAAACAGCAACTTTTATTAAAAATAAGGCTTATACGACTTATCCCATCAACCTCCGTACGATACAGATGTATAGATTTTCGAATATTGAAAGTTTAAAGATCCTGTAGTACTTATTATTTCTTTCGGATCTGTCTTCGGCTTACATCATAAGAGTTGATAGAGATATCTCAGATGAAGTTGATTCTAAAGTTATCGATGATTTACGATATAATTCCGAGGTTTCTTCTTGCTTATTGGGTTTTCTATAGCGACGAAAGTTCGTTGCTGGAGTTATTTGTATATCTATATGGTTGGTATAAGAGGATTGTTTTGTTTCTCGGTGTCTGGTTTCTGATTAATTGATGTGGTGGTTGCGAGTTGAGTTTTTCCTTGTGGTTAGAGTGTCAGGTTCGTAGATGATATGGTATATAAGTGTGCTATAGAGCAAGTTGCAAGGTGGATGCAAGTTTATGTGATTAGAATCTTTGGACGAGTGTTTATGTTATTTTCTAATGGTGTATAGAATGATATTGGGCGGTATGTAGCTTTTACTTCTATCAGGTGTTTGAAATAGAATGCTATGCATAACAGAAAACTTGCAAGTCTGGAAATCATTGAAGTTAGTTAGTATGGTTGTCGGTAATAGTGTTGTCGTTAGTTTCGTCTGAGAACTATAACTGATAGAAGATGTAGACTTTTGGTAAACCAATGTGGTATTGATGGATGAGCTATGGAGAGTATATATTGGCTCATTACTCTGCAATCAAGTTGATTGGGTAGTTCCCAAAACAAAGCATCAAATTGAAGCGAATCCACGAATGCACACACGAAGTTGGATGAAGTGAAGTACACTTATTTGGAATACAAAGTCCTTTTCTCTCACCAATTCGACTACATAATTAAACAGCTGGATACTCACCTACTCACCCACTTCTTCATACAGATATCTCCATACAAATAGCAACATCAACACCCGATATCCACCCCCTAGACATTCAACCTCAAACTCGGCAAAAACTCCACCTTCACCGCTTATAAAATTCTTCGCCCTTCACTTTCCCCTTCACTCCATTCAACCTCTCAACTTATTCACTCCTACCTACCTGGAACTTCCCATCTTCCCCAGATCACGTTACATCCCTTCCAACCCAAATCTTTTGTTGCACATCTCACATTTTCTAATCTCACGATACTTCCTCAAAATCCCCCTTTCCACCAAATTGAAAAGCTTCATTTTCTTCTCTCTTTCTGCTTCAACTTAGGATTAGATGAGGAGATCAAGAAGCCGATATCTTTTTTTGGTTTTGACTCTTGAGAATACACTTTTTGGTATATCATTTTCGCATTCACTCTTATATATCTCATCCCATTTACTTCAGCACACTTCGCTTCACCCTCTTCCATTCTATCCAACCATATCGCTTCGACAACGACATGGAAGTTTTGTTGCACATCTCATATTTTCTGATCTCGCGATAGTTACAAATTTGAGGTCTTATTACAGTTTGAAAAGCTTCATTTTCTTCTTTTGCATTGCTTCAACTTAGGAATAGATGAGGAGATCAAGAAGTCAATATCTTTTTTGATCTTACAATAAAGATGTTATTCCTATATTCGCTCTCATCAATCTCATCTCAACCACTTCAATATACTTCACTTGAGGGTTTTATTATACATCTCACATTTCCTAATCTCACAATAGTTTACAAATTTAAAAGTCTTACTACAATTGAAAAGCCTCATTTTTCCCCTAATTCTATCTTCGAACCCTCAATAACAGAGAGATATTTACAAGATATATCCTTCTACCTGAAATCTTGATTTCTTACATTTTCTAACTATTCTATTTATTCATTTCAAATTTATATTAATTAATCCCTCATCTACTATATCCACTCATACACATCCCCATCACATCGTCACATCACATCACACCACACCACCTCCATCCTCCCAGCAGCTGGAGTCTTTTAAAAAATCTTTTATTACCTTCCCTATCTCACAATTACATATCTCACATCTCACAATTACAATTCCCAATCTCACAATACCTCCTCAAAATCTTATTATTTTTTATTAAATTGAAACCCCTTATTTTTTCTTCTTACTTCTATCTATTTTTAAAATCTAAAAATAAAGAAATAAATAAATATCTAAATATTCAAATATAAATTATACTATCCCCTTATTCAAAATCTTAATTTCTTCAATCTTAATATCTACCTATCTACCTACTTACTCTAAATATATCAACACTCTCGCTCTTAATTATAGATATTTACTTAATAATTTCCCTACTACATCACCTCCCCAATATTTTAACAGATTTATTATACATCTCACAATTCCTAATCTCACTATATCTCCCTATATACAACTTTCCACTAATTCGAAAAGCTTCATTTTCTTTCCTTGCCTTCCTTTCCCTTCCCTTCACTTCATCCTTAACCATATACAACATTCCTGAACCCAGGTACAAGCACAATCCCAGCCCCAATCCCAATCCCAATTTCAATCCCAAATACATTCCAACCCCATTCAGATCATCTCAAGTATAATCCTCAAATAATAGACACCTGCCCATCTACCCATCTACCTATCTATTACCACATCTACCTCCCTTGCACCACAAAGCTTCACAGAACATAAGATATTCATCATATCTTCATCCTGCAAGCCAAACAAGTAGAGTAATGTATGACTGCATCTCCCCTTCCACAACATCCACAAAATTCATCAATATTAGAAACCCCTTTCTCAATCTCCATATCTATATCCACCCCTATTCCCAACCCAATGTAAAAATCAAAAAGAAGAAAAAAACTTTTAGTACCTAATACAAGCAAATGAAAAAAACCACCAAATTGCGTAAAATGTCCCTGAAAAAATAGCTGAAGAAACCCCATTGATCCGAAGAAACAAAGAAGTATACGCGTAGGCAGCAACAAAAATATTGTAACCATTCCATGCGAACCGCGAAAATACTACCGGGTCCTCATCGTTACAAGTGTTATTCCATCTGCAAATGACCCCCCAACTTCATCACTGCGAGTATTCCTCAAAGGGATCTGCAAATATTCATGCGCATCTGGAACAATATATTGATAAACATTGAGCACTTCTCCATCACTTCCGAGTAAATCGATTGCCAAGATGAATCAATTCTTAGTAGGTTCCTCATTTTTCTTTCCCATGCGACTCCAACGAGATTCTGCAAGTGGTGCTACCGCAACAGGTTTCTTTTGCGCAACCGGTGCTACCACAACAGGTTTTGGTACTTGTACTTCAGCAGTAGGAGCTTTGAGAATAGGAGCCTCTCCTAATTTGCGCGTGGTGCTTGTATGTAATCTTTGTAAAATATCGTAGTTGTGGAAGACTACTGGTTGATGTTTGAAAGCATCACTTGGAAGAGGTCTGCGTGGTGTTCTGGCGCCGAGTTCCATTCCTAATTCGCTGGATGATGATGAAGAGGAGGATATTTTACTGTTTACAGGACTGGCTGTTTGGGATATAGCTTTGGTTACGTTAGTGTATTGTTAAAGTTAAATGAGGAGAGAAATAATTACCTCCGCTTTGAGCAACACTTGATGCAGGACTGGCTTTTTGGGACATAGCTTTGATTATGTTAGTATATTGTTAAAGTTGAATGAGGAGAGAAATAATTACCACCACTTTGAGCAACACTTGATACAGGACTTATACCGACAGCCGAATCGGGAGCATTTGGAACTTGAGTTTTGATTGGAGGAAGAGGAGTTGATCGATTAAGTTCTTCGAAAAACGATACATGTGCAATACGAGAATTCCACGTGGGATTATAGCCATCATAACTCGGGGCGCGGGTCGCAGCAGGTGTACGATGAGGAGTGGGATTTGCGGATGAAACGGTGGATAGAGTACTATGCGTACGACTAACCGTTCTCTGACTTCTGCGTCTATTGTGTTCGATGATTTTGGGTCGATCTTCATGTTTCCAAGTGGGAGGGGCGCCGAAGAGGGCATCGACTGAAGCATGTGATGGAACGTGTTTGTATGGAGCTTTGGCAGCTTCTTCTTCGGATTTCTTTTTATCCTCTTCTTCGGCGGTGACTTTGGCCTTGTTCTGTGCAATGGCCTTTTTGGTACGTCTAAGCCTTGAGAGAATCGACATTTTGGACGAAATTGATTATATGTTGTGCGGTATTATGAAGTGAAGAATCAACGTAAGATACAATGATTCAAGATGATTTGATGTTGAATACCTAGGTACTTTGAAGTATCAAATGTGATGAGATGAGATGAGATGAGATGAGATGAGATGAGATGAGATGAGATGAGAAGAAATCAGATGAAGAGATCAGATGAAGAGAAAGAAAGAAAAGAAGAAGAAGAAGTCGAACTCGACAAAATCACAAAAGCGAATACCTACTAGATAGTATTTCAAACTAAAAAGCCGGTTCGAGAAAGAGACTATATCAAGATATCTAGTATGTATCTAGTATGTACGCAAGAAATCGATCTACCTACTAGTACTAACCATCAAACTAACCATCAAACTAACCCCCCGCCGTTTTTTTCTCTCCACCTTCACTTCCACCTTCTTATTATCAACTATCGATACCTACTAGGTAATTCCACGCCAATTCCATCAATTCCACACCAATTCCACCTCGAGTAATATCTAGCACAGCACTAGATATATCTATCATCCACATCATCCACATCCATCCATCCACATCCATCCATCCCACCCCATCCACCCCATCCAAGTCCAGAATAACCAAGTTTTTCATCCTAGATACCTACCTACCTAGCATGAAGATCAGAATTTAATTCACATACCCACCTACCTACACTACCTAAAATATTCCTACAGCATATCTACCTATAAACCCAAGATATAGTAACCTTACATCATAAAATCAAAGCTTTAGGAATACTACCCGAACCATACCAGAAAAATGGATTTTGCTACTCGTATAATAAACATAATTACTATTGGATTAGCCATACCCCTTCGAGCTCTGGCGTCACACTTATCATACATTATATGCCGAGGAAGACTAGCTAGTACCTTCCTCTGTTGGGATTTCTAGGTTATCTTGGGATTATTTCGACGCGTCACCTGTATAAATTTTGGATTTTGGAGTTTGGATTTCTCGATTGTAATAAGGTTATAAATAGGGGGGTGGGATTTGATTATATGATTATATGAAGATTTAGATAGATAGATAGATAGATAGATATATTAAAATAAAATAAAATCACTCTCCATCAACCTTCCCATCTCCCATCTCCCATCTTCCATCTACATTCCCAAGCTAAAAAAACAAGTATACCTCCCTACCTCCCTACCTACCTACCTACCTACCTCCCTCCCTACCTCCCTCCCTACGTATTAAATTTCCCCTCACATATCCCTCCAAGACACCGGAGGGAATTCAATGGAGAATATAGGGAACTACCTAGTACCCAGCGAGAGCTTAGTTCCAAGAATGTATTGATATGATATGATAAACCTCATAGATCATAGATCATAGATCATTTGGCATGTACACTACCTACCTACTACCTAGGTAAAGAGAGGTAGGTAGTCTTCTCAACAACGTACTAACCGGTAATAAACAAGACAGACCAATTCGAATTCCACCATACAATAAAATCTAGATCACCTCTTCAATCTCGAATCTCAAATCTTGAATTGAACAGTCAACATTCATCATTCAACCGTCAAAATGCAAAATTCAAAATTCAAATCCACCGATTTACCATCTACCATCTACCATCTAGAGATTTTGATAGCTTGACGGGTGGATACCTACTTACTACCTACTACCTAGTGCTCTACTAAACAAATCTCCCCAACCATCCATCCACTCAGCATCCACAAAATTTTCCTGCTCCCCTCCTCTCCCCTCTCAACATGGGAATTCTCCGGCGCAAACGTGTGAAAATTTGTTGGATGGGATAGCACGCTCAAACCTTAAATTTCACGTATGATGTATGATGTATGATGTATCGTAGGACATTCACACATATAATCTTACCTAGTAGATAATAGAAGTAAGCTATGTGATCCTATTTTCTGATAATGATATGATATGATATGTGTGATATGTGTGATCTAGACTTACTGATCACCTCGTATCTTCCAGTCACGATTTGGTTCTTTGGATAAACATTTCGACTTACCTATCCGGATTTTTGGTGCAAGCAGCCAATTAACACTTCGATAGGATTATCTAGCTTATCATAAGCCTCCTGAGAGTATGATCTTGATTATCAATTTCATTTCCACTGTGTATCGATATCTGGAAGAGTATTCGGCGGATCACTCGCCGAACAGTCATTTTTAGACTTCCAATTTTATTCGAGTACTCGGTGTCTTTAGTGATCCTTGGTACCTCTAACACATGTCGGTACATACTAGGTAGACATGAAAAGAGCATTACCCAGTACCAAAGACCATATGGTTTTGGTAGTACTTACCACCAAAACCATGGAAATCATGTACGAATCCGTGTGCGATGGAGCTTGCCAGGATATCATTTGTCTTAGCCCCATCTCGGCTATGCAACACATCAGGGAGGAAGAGATGGTACTGCAAGTGATCAGACCTTTGAAAATTTACTAAGAAATCTTCCGATGAACTGGTATCGAAGGAAGCTTGAAACAGTCTCTCGGTCGTTACCCAAAAGTATAAAATGCCATGTGGGAAATGTTTTGGGAAATAGTTGCAGTCGGTCGATATAGAGCTTGTTGAAGGTATGTGCGAATTTGTGGAAGTTTATGAAGTATGAATTGTGATGTCTCTCAGAAAGATAGACTAACTCAACGGAAGACTTCCTTCCATCAAAGAGAGACCATTACAGAATGAGAACATATCTCAGGAAGATAGAACTATCCACCAAAATGTTAGACCTCAACGTTAAATGAGGCTGAAGCCTTGAGCCATTCTCTACTCGTCGTATCGTTTGCTGCAAAGATTGATCACAAATACGATACTCAAGTACCGGTATGCATTAAAATGTAGTTGGAATAATCGATAGATCAAGAGAAAGTTTTGTTGTTCGGCCCATACCAAGGTTGTCGTTATCAACAAGGACGGGAGGGAAATTTGCTATTGCACTGCACGGCACTGACCTGATTTCATTTATGATGAGAAACGCTCCAATCATCATAAACGAAGATCCAACTTGTAACTGCAGCCTCCCGCGTATGCATATTCTCCCCCATGGTACGATTTGAAGCGTACCCAGTATGCATAACATACCGGTGAAGCTTGTTCCTAGCATAATCCATTTGTTTATTTGTGTCTTGTTTCTAGAAAGCGGAATGATAAATAAAACCTTGGTGATTAGGTCCGATTTTATGAATCTCCGAAAGATCCGTGATTTTCATGGGGTTGTGCAAAGCGTGACGATTCCGAGCATTGAATTGCACCCATCCGGAGATTTCAATTGTTCAAAAGAGAGAGTTTTCCACAGCCCAATATTGGATTCTTAATGATGCAAATCCAAGACCTTGTCCCCGAAGAATCAGAGAAGTCTAGTGAGGATAAAATCCTCGGAGAAAAAGCCATGATTCCACGGATTTCCTAGTATTCTCCGTCGCATGAGGACATGGTCCTCAATTGGAGAAATTCCGCTTTGAGTGGTATTGCTAGGACATTTTCCCATCTTCCGTGACGCCTCCCGTCTGGCCAATTGATTCGTGGATGGTGGCTGTAGAGAGAAGGAGATCTCGAACGCTCGACTGAGATATCCGGAAAAAACTAAGGAACATGTCAATTCATTTGTGGTGAAAGATTTGGATACTCATTATGATGATCATGATCGCAGGCATGTTGAGGTATTTGCAAGAGGGATGTAACGGACGGGAGCGGGGGATCGTATTCGCAAAGACCTTATGATGGACTGTTCAGTGCATACCGGTACGGTCAAATCCCAAGATAAGCAAGCCTACGCAGGACGAGTACAGAGGCGAGAGAGGCTCGAGGATTGGATCTAGGATGTGTACATTTGCATGGCATGGCATCGCATCGCATGGTAGGTGTGTCATTGAGTAGCAAATCCACCCACCAAGTCAAAGAAGGAGGGAGAATGAGGAGAATGAGGAATGAGAAAGTTTGAGAAATTCTATATTATTTCCTTAACAAATAATACCTATATATATATATCTATATATCTATATCTATATATATTAATTCTTCAAGAAATACAGCCCCCAAAGAAGTATGAATTCCTTTCATCCGCCAGAGATCTTAAAGAAAGATGGAGATGGGGGCTGAATCATAAACACTCAACACCCACCCTACGCCCTTAGCAGGATAGATAATTTAATGAACGAGATTCAATCCATCCTCAACAACTCATCATTTGGTATAAATAGTCCTCTCACCCCCAACTTCACATCGACGTGAATACCCGTGGACTTGAACAATATTGTATTCCTTCCCTTTCTTCCCTTCCCCACTACGGAGTACACTGCCCTGCATCAACTGCCGCTCAATCTATCATGCATCGAATGATCCCAGTCCGACAAGGAATATAAATGTTAACGACGGATGTGAAAATCCATTTTGGACATTCCCCATGTCTCAAGAAGCGCGTGCAAACCGATCCCGACGGAAAAGCGTTTCAAGAAATGAAGGGATGATGGATAATATCATTTTGACATCGACATGCGATTCAGTCATCACCTCCTAGGTAGGTACTCGAGGTACTCTCACATCGCAAACCTTTCCATCATTCATGCATGTATCTCTCGGAGATCGAATCCAATGCACCATACAATACAATCCATACCTAGGTATCGTACATAGCTGCCAGACGGAAAGATTCGCTTGGAAGATTGTTTATCTCCCAACATTTGAAACACCAGCACAGAACATCGGGTGAGCTCACGATTGGTTGGTGGAAGCACTGGCGAAGGAATTATTGGACCCCGAAGTATGCTAGGCTAGAATGAGACACGTGATACGGATCCCAGAGTGGGAGTGGGAGTGGGAGTGGGAGAGTTTATTAGTATTAGTTGATCCCACGGTGCGAGGGTGCCTCGGGTGCCAGTGCCAGTGCCAGTGCCAGTGCCAGTGCCAGTGCCAGTGCCAGTGCCACTCATCTCATGATAAGATCAATCCATAAATCCATAAATCCATAATATCATCAAATT